TTCTTTCTTTGGAAATATGTCCCAAACATTTATGCCACAAATAAGCTGAACTTTCATCCACTGAACTTTGTTTAGTTCCAACATTATGATGCAAGGTTAACAGAGTTTCAACAAAAGATTATCAAGCTTTAATTTGTATAAACCATCATAGAGAACACCAGAACCAATAAGATGACTATGCTTAAACAAACTAAAATAACCATTTCCAAATTTAAAAGAGTATCCAACGACATCAAGTTTAGACAAAGAAACTAAGTTGCGAGAAACAGTAGGAACATAAAGGGTTTGAAAAAGATTTAAATGATGTCCAGTGTCTAAAAACAAGTGGTAGGTTCCAATGGCCTCAACTGGAGCTTTGACTCGATTTCCCATGAAGATGAAATTTTCATTTGGATTTATAGTTTGGGTCGTAAGGAATCCCTGCATCGTATTTGAAACATGAGTGGTAGAACCAGAGTCAATCAATCCACAAAGTATTATAAGCAACTTCTGTTAGGTTTGATTCGAAACATACAAAAACAAGAGGTTTACCTTTCTTTTCGAACCATGCCTTACGTTTTAGGAAATCTTTCGATAGTGTCCAGGCTTTTTGCAGAAATGATACTTATCGTTCTTTTGTTCCTTCTTGTGGATTTGGACATGCAACACATTATCATTCAGTGCTCTTTTCTTACCCTTTCCATTATATTTTCCTGGTTCCTTTCCAGCTCCTTGATGAACCACGAGATTAATTGAGTGAGTTCCTTATTTCTTAAGCCTTGCTTCCTCTTGAATGAGCATACTTTGCAGTTTAGTCATATTCCACTTATCTTTTATAGTATTGTAGTTTATTTAGAATGGACCATACTCAGAAGGCAATGAGTTTATGATAAACTGCACAAGGAAACTTTCACTCACTTTCATTCCCATAGATCTCAATCTTAGTACTGCTGTGTTTGTCATTTCAGTGACATGCTCATGCATGGTACAAGAACCATCAAACTTCATGGTAGTCAACGTACCCATTAATGTCCCTACAATTGACTTATCAGCAGAGTCAGATTGCGAGAGATCTTCCACAAACTTCATAAATTCCTTTACTTTATTAGTCTTAGGAATTATGGACTTAATGTTGTTTGCTATCGTCATCCGCATGAACATTAAGCTAAGTCTATTTGATTTTTCCCAAGCATCATGGAAAAATCTTTCATCAGCATTGCTAGAATTAGTAATAGCAGCGGGCTTGTCATACATGAGTGTTGAATCAAGATCCAGAACACCCAGGTGAAACTGAACTTGTTCACTCCATTCATAAAAATTAAGCCCATTGAACTTTACAATAGACGAGGCTTGCGAATGTAGAGAAATAGGTGCTAGGGGTGAGCACGGTTCGGTTCGGGTCGGTTTTTACCAAAATTTAAACAACCGAACCGAACCACCTACAATTCAAAACCGAACCGAACCGTTGCAAATCGGTTCGGTGCGGTTCGATTCGGTTTGTTCGGTTCTAACTTCATCAAGTATAACAATTATTGCAGCAATCGACAACATTTAATACATCAATCATCACTGCTACTCCAATGTACATAAACTTTTTTAGATCAACTTATACGATCTCAAATCAGAAATGTCTCAGAAGTTCTGATTTCAAGCAATTGAGTAAATTATGATTTACCCTTATGCATGAACAAGGTCAATCACTTGCGCTAATTTGAATGAGAATATTTTTCTAAAACAAGATTTCTTCCCTTATCATATATTATACAAATTCTCTGATCCGCGAAAATAAATATGAAATTAGGCCACAAACTTCCCAATTTTAAAAAGTCATCGATTTTTCAATCTTTCAAAAAGCAAAAAAATAAAAAAACCGGCACCATTCCATCAGGCAACAACATTAATGATTCCTAAATCCGATCAACTTAGAGGAGGTCAAATCAGAAAAGGTAATTTCAGAAACCCTGATTTCAACTGATTAAGTGGTGAAAACTTACTCAAACGACTTAAGATGCATAAGGAATTTCTTACACTCGTGCTTCGTGCCCAAAGATCCTAGGAAACGCCGGAGTTTGGCCCTGTAATAATCCAAATATACAGAAATGAGAAACAAAGATGGGTTGACGGATCGCAGCGGTGACGGAGACGGAGACGGAGCGCGTCGACGGAGGGCGGTAGGGCTGGACTTTGGAGCGGCGGTGGCAGCTGGATCTGAGGTTGGAGAAGATTTGGAGAACGGGCTTTGAGAGCTAGGTTAGATTTTGGGATTTTATCCTGAGGGAACACGGGTCGGGTTACGTTAAAATGGGCATGGGTAATGGCGGTCGGTTCGGGTAGTTCGGGTTGAAAATTTTTCAACCCGACCCGAACCGACTAAGAGTTAAAACCAAACCGAATCGTTGATTTTCGGTCGGTTCAGTCGGTTTTTTCGGTTTGGACCGAACCATGCTCACCCCTAATAGGTGCTGCAAATATATAGAATACTGGAATATTAATGCTTTGAGTCATAAACTTAAACTTAATAATACATATTTAGATAACATTCAAATTAATCAATAAACGTACATCGAAGTTCTCCTTTGGGTGATCCATTAATGTACAACAGTGAACATAATTGATGCTTAGTTTTATTTCATATAATTGGCAATTATATATACTCCAATTAGACATGCTTGCTATCTTTGGATATTCTAAAGATATCTAATCAGATATATTAATTAACCACAGTCATGTTTATAGATTATAAAATTTACCAATCAACCTTTGGGCGATTCTAAATATTTTATAATCAATAAACCTCAATCTACTCATGACAACATATATATACATTTATGTCATTTCATTAGTAGCATCACTTAATCATGAGTAATTGAAATTATATTATTATAATTTGATAAGTATGGAACTTCAAGGTATGGTCACTTTGGTGACTAACAAACCATCCATGAAAATTTAAATTTCAAATTGTATAATGGAATCTAGACAATAACGTTATAATAAGCCCGCAAATAGCAGTCCATGAATATTAACAATTCATGCATAATTAGTGCATTGACATAAACAGAAATATCATGCATGTAAAATAGACAAATAGGCAGCAACACATGCAACCCAAAAAAAAAAAAAAAACGAATTAGTAAAAACATCATTAGAAATCCGAGACCCCAATAATAAATGGACGGCCAGTTCCGATTTTTGCAGTAATGGTTAAGGTATTCAATTTAATACGAAATTATCAAAACATTTATAGTATTCAATAATCAGCGGAAAAAATTTAATTATATAATTTTAAACATTTAATTAACAGTAATGGAATTATTTGACAAGAAACAAGAATCATGATGAAAAATCATAAGTTCTTTAACCTGGCTCTGATACCAACATGTAAACTTAAATTCTTAAGTAAATCAAACTTCATTTTGATTTAATCATCATAATACCAAGATCTTAGAACAATATGATTTCACAATAAACAATCTAATTAAGAAAACGTACATTGATCCATGATTTGAAACTTGAAGAGAAATGGATTGCAAGATGAACAACCTTGAAGACTTGAGTATCTCTCCCTTAACCCTTTTTGAGCTTTTCCGAAATTTTCTTGATGGAGAGAAATTTTTTTCCATACCAGGTAGAGAGGACCAAGCCTTTTAAAATAAAATAATTACCCACAATCCATCAATGTGAGTAGTTATCTTGACCAATAGGAACTTAGCATAAAACGTGATTAGTTATATAACTAAAATAAATCATGACCAGTTTCTTAAACCAAAAGAAAAAAAATGGCCACTAAAGTTGTTTAAAACAAAAACGTGGGCCACTACACTAAAATCTAACAACATCTTGATACATTGCAGCGAAAAAGGACATATTATAGGAAAGAATTTGTTAGTAGCATATAGCAAAACATAACGAGGCTCACTTACTTTATCTAAATGATTATGTTTTTTTAATCTCAGTATGAAAAGAAAGAGAGATGTCTGCTTTTTCCCACAATAGAAGTTAAAAAAAAGAAAAAAAAACATTAGTGAATAAAAGTGGTCTAGTTGTTCCCGGGGGGTTACATCGGATAAAAATTTTATACTTGCAAAATACGCTAGACGCAATATTTGATGGTAATAGTAATTTAGTCATGATGCTACAAGTTGTATTTTTCCGGTTCCGATCTAGCAAATTTCTCAAATATTAGCGTGAGAGATCCAACTTCAGCTCTCCCTCAAGTATTAGAGTCTCCTAACCCTTTTTTTCGTTGCCAAAAAAAAAAAACAAAACAAAACAAAAATGGAGGTATAATTTAAATGCAAAGAATTGGCTTTTCTTTCCATTAATTAGTTAAAAAATTTAAAAATAAAACACGAATAAAAATCCAATCCAGCTGTATGGTAACATCGCAATGATTATCAAGTTATCCGTGTAAAATTGAGAATCTTGTGGTGCTAATAAGATTGGACCTACATTTAGGGGGTGTTTGTTTGCATGCAAGTGAAAGATGAAAGTGAGAAAGTTATTTTCATTTAACAATTAAGGTGTTTGTTTTCATGTAAGTGGTTATGAAAGTGAGATGCAAGAAAGTTGCCACATATGATTTAATGTAATTTTGGCTTCCCCTAAAAAAGTGGTGAAGTCACATGAAAGTGACAAAAAGGTAACTAATTTAATTAAATGATTTTAATTATACTTTTCTAATTAATCTTATTTTGCCACGTCATCTTCACATTGCACTTTAGATAATAATTTAATTTTTTAAACAAACACTGTATTTCACTTGCGTGCTGACATGGATGTAAAAATCATTTGCAAAAAAAAGTAACTTACATATTTTAAATTCACTTTCAGATTGTCAAACACCCCTTTAATAAAACTTTGCTGGATCAAACTTTTAGTTAGCAGTTGAGTTACATGTACAAGACTCACACAGAAAGTGGCACATTAGTCAAAGTCTGAGATCAGAGACTGCCAATTATTATTTATTAAATAAATAAAGAAGCTGATTAAACCCTTTCCTTTATCGTCAAAAATAAAAATAAAAATAAAAGAACCCAACAAAATTTTCATGACCAATACCAGGAAAAAAGAGTGAGCCCGCTCCTTGCTCCCTCTTTATTTATTCCTAGCTCCTTCCCTCTCTGTGATCTGATTTCTCTTCAAGATCTTCTTGCTTTGCTCTCAACATCAAGCTGAGGGAGCAATCTTGCTGTCGAAGGTACTTTTTTGTTGAATCTATAGCGTATGCTTGATTTTCGAGGTTTTTTTTTTGAGATGGGTTTATTTTAGATCGCTCTGATCGATGGGTTATTAGGAAAAAACTTAATCTTGATCTATAAGCTTGATGTACATCTTTTACTTGTTTGAAGAAATGGGTTCACTTCAAAATTGGAAGTTGGTCTGTTATTTGGAGATTTGGTATCAAGGGAATGAGGATTATTAGGGGAAAAAAATTAATCTTAAAAACTTAAGTTTGATCTTTAAGCTTGATGCGCATCTTTTAGTTGTTGTTGGAAGAAATGAGTTTGCTTCAAAACTGGAACTTGATCTGTTGTTTGGAGATTTGGTATCAACGGAATGAGGATTATTAAGAGAAAAACTTAATTTTGATCTTTAAGCTTGATATGTGCATCTTTTACTTGTTGGAAGAAATGGGTTTACTTCAAAATTGGAACTTGATCTGTTGTTTGGAGATTTGGGGTCAGGTATAATTTGGCATCAACGGAATGGAGGCTAGGGTTTCTTCTGGATTTTGTTTCTTTCTATTTATTGCCAGTGGGTTTAAGCCTGGCTAGCTGGTTTTAAGCCTTGATTCTAGTGGATTTGGATGATAAGGCATCATTGCACTGTGATGAAAGATAGTTTGAGAATTATTCAACTGTATTGTTTGGTTGGTGTAAGTCAACTAGTGTTGAAAAATTAGTTATGTTGGTGCAAGTATTATGTGCAGAGTAGTAAGCTCCTGAACAGAAGGTCTTTAATTTTGATGGAAAAAGACCATGAAATTTACAGCAACAACTTATATCATGGCCTCACTTTATAATGATAAGGGCCATACATTTAAGTTCTTGCTTGGTACCAAGCATAAATTTTGTGCTTGGTAGTGAGGTGACACAATCCCCTCCACTCATTCAAATGGGAGACCGCATTCACATGGGTTGAAGAGTACATGAGGATATGCAACCACTTGAATGAGTAAAGGGGTTATGTCACCTCACAACCAAACAAAACTTTTTGTGTTTGGTACCAAGCATACAGATTTTTCTCATATATATATATATATATAGTCATAATGTTCTCAATTATAAAACAAAAATCCTAGAAATAACCCCATAACCATGATATAAACACCCAAACCCCTTATATAATTATAAAAATATCTACTATACTTGTTATATAACTAACCATTTAAATACACATACTACCAAACACCCAGATACCTAATTACACACAAAACTCACAACATGCTCAACCATAAAAAAAATTCAAGCAGTAATACAATGCCCATGATATAAACATACCAATTAATTTAGGATGTGTGACAGACAAGTTCATAGAACGATTTGAACGGTAAAAGTTCAGACAACGGTCGATGTAGGGTAATTGACTCGCCTAAGAAGAAAGGGTCATATCTTCCAATCTAGAAGGCGTTTCCAGACATATAATATGTGAATTATGCATTCTTGGTCACAAAATAATTTCTGCAGTATTTTCTTCTTCCTTTTTTTGTGAGGGGAGGGGGAGAAGATGGGGGGGATCATTTTGATAAAATAAGACTGTTAGGACTTAGAATTAGGAAACTAGCCTGAGTAGACTGTTAGGATTAGGAAACTAGCCTGAGTTTCGTTCACATTTGATCGATTTGTTTCTTTAGGGGTGTTTGTTTACCCGAGAGTAGAAAGTGAAAGTGTGAAAGTGACTCACTTTTATCACTTTCGATGTTTATTTTATTGAAAGTACATGCGAAAGTGAAATACAAAACTTTTGCCACATCATATATGATACAATTTCAAGTTTCCCTAAAAAATTGTAGGTGTCACACGTAAGTGAAAAGAGTGGGGGACCACCTTTAACTAAAAAATTATTAATTAAATCTTCCTTTTCCTACAGGCTCGTTAATCAATTTTTTTTAATCTCCGACGGTTCACTTAACATATAAAGTTTTCAATTTCATTTTTTTCTTGAGTTTTCAATATCAGTCCCTTAATCTTTGCTATTTTTAATTGATCTCTCAGATTATTAAAATTGCTATCATGTCCCTCAATACTTATGAGTTGTTGCACAATTAATCCCTTGATCCCTGAAATTACTATTACATCCTTAAGTTCTTATAAGTTCTTTCAAACTAATCCCTTTAGTCAAGGTTAGTAGTAGCAAGATATAAGAATCGCGGGACACAATTGTAATTTCAGTGATTTCAGAGACTAGTTCCAAAATATTAAAGATGTAAGGGATTATGATAAAAAAACTTATATTTTAATTACATGATATAATCTGTAGCTATCGATTTAATCTCATCAGGGGTCTTCACATGATTTTTTTTAATAGTTATGCTATGAATTAAATTTTGTATTTTTGTGTCTAATCGTGCTAGTTATTTATTTTTAATCGTTGAACACTTTTTGCAGTTACCAAATACCATTTAGAATATACCATGGTTTTTAATAAATAAATAAATGGATGAATTGCCACATCATCTTCTCTTTTCTACTTTCCAATGATAATTTACTTGTGTAAATAAACACTGTATTTCACTTGCATTATGTCATGGATACATTTTCTCACTTGCAAAAAAAATGACTTTCACACTTTCAATTTACTTTGTGCATAATTTTTTATACTTACTATTTTAGTAAGTTATGTCAAATAAGGAGTCCGTTATTTTTTAAGGTATCAATTTTCAATCAACAATATTTTCCTCTTTCAAGTAATACACACACACATGTATAAGGTTTTAAATATCGGTCATTGGGGATTTTTCAGACGGTCAAAATTTATATTGGAAAATGGATATCAAGGATATATGAGGGATAAGTAGTATTTCTCGGAGTGACATTACCGGATAGTTATATACATAATATAATATTCTAAAATATAATCATACTTAATAAAATATAAACATAGCAAAATAAAAATAATTATGCTCAAGATCACTAACCAATGGTAGAAACTTGGGTCGGGTCGGGTTTAAAGTGCATTGAATAAGTGTCCATTGCACGAAATCAAAACTCAGACCAAAGGTCGATAATTTCGATTTTTGGGCCAACAATATCAGTCGATAACTCACTTTATCACCGTATTATCGGCGATAAACATTCAAAAACGATAACCGATTTAGAATCAGACTTATCATAGCGGAAGGCCGCCAAAACTGATAAATCACCAATAATAGCCGATTATCAGCCGATATTTAAAACATTGTTTATATATATAAAGAGAGAGAAAAAAAAACTTATGTCAACTTAAGTAGATCATCCACCAAAGTTTCTATCTATTGATGATACCTAGAAATCCGTGCATCATATGAAGAGATTTTTCATCAATTGATAGAAACTTTGGTGGATGATCCACTTAAGTTGACACCAAGTCTTTGTCCATCAAAGTTTCTATCCACTCATTTATATATATAAAAAGACTCTTCATATCATGCAAGGATCCCTAGGCAACATGAGTGGATAGAAACTTTGGTGGACCATCCACTTAAGTTAACATAAGAATTGCTCTGTGTGTGTGTGTGTGCGCGCGCGCGTGCGTGTGCGCGTGCGCGCGTGCGCGCGTGCGTGCGTGTGCGTGTGTATTCTTGCTAATGGTAAAAAAGGGTCTTTGAATGTGGGGTCTATTCTTATTTTACCCGAGGGGTTCAAATTAGCCCCCCTATCATATTTGTCCCAAGGTAGAAAGAATTACAATTCCTATTCCACCTTAAATCTTAGGAATTTTTTGATAGTTGGAATAGATTCGTAAACCAAGTCGACTAATACGTTTTAAACTAGTTCTATATATTCCTTTCCGCACTTGAAAAGCCACCTACAGACGCTTTACGCCCAATCATTCCGGATAACGCTTGCATCCTCTGTCTTAATGCGTCTGCTGGCACAGAGTCACCTGATGCTTATTCTTCAGATACCGTCATTACTTCTTCTTTGAGAAAAAGAAGTTCATGACCCATGGGCCTTCTACCTCCACGCGGCATTGCTCCGTCAGGCTTTCGCCCATTGCGGAAAATTCCCCATTGTTGCCTCCCGTAGGAGTCTGGGCCATATATATATGTATGTATGTATATATGTGTGTACACACACACACACACATCTTTATATGTGCGTGCGTGCGTGCGTGCATACGTGCGTGCGTGCGTGCATACGTACGTGCGTGCGTACGTACGTACGTGCATAAATATTTATTTAGGTAGTACAATATGTTACCTAATACACTATGTTTCGGCTTTGCATGCAAACATAAATGGAAAATACACACACCCTACAACAGATCAAGGTAATACTGTACTATTTGGAGCACCACTTTTTTGTGTGTGCTCAAAGGAGTTTGGTAGTTGGGGTTGAGGGAATAGACTAAGTGAGGGACTGAGGGAGGCTTAGGCTGTTGAGATATCATTTGATGCTTTTTTTCCATAGTACATCTCAAGAAATGAGAAAAGATTTCTATTTTTATTGGTTGATTGGTGAAATTGAAGATGGTAATACCCTGTATGCATACACATATGGTAGGTTATCTATAATAGTAGTGGAAATTTTTTTTGAGAGACTAGAAAGGAGTATAATGAAAGAAAATAATAAGAAGGCAATTTATAGACTTATAGCTAAAAGTATGAATATCCTTTTTGGTTGCTTTCAGTTATTAGCCCATTAGTATTCCTGTACATGTGAAGCGTGCATGACATGAAACCTGAGGAGTGTTGTAGTCAAATTGTCAAGGGAACGTACATTTTTTAGTTCTTTTATTTATTTATTTATGTTGAAAATTTCCAGTTTTGAGGGCATATCCGTAGTTTTTCCCCCATATGAGAGGACAATCCCCTTTTCAAAAAATGAGGGTGTTTTTGGAATTCAAAAAATAAGCTCACCCAAAAGGTTGTTTCTTTTAAATAGTAGTATAGATGTATCTGTTTGACTTTCTCGCATTAATCGTAAATGGAGTGAGGTTTCATACAAACAATTACACAGGGAAGGGGGCAGATAGCTGTGTGAAGGCATTCAAGGAGGATGCACTCAATTCATTGGAGAGGAATGAGAGAGGCTCCATAAGAGGCTGCACCTACTTGCTAATTTCTAATTAAGGGCATTTAGCAGGAAAGGTATGGAAAAACAACAGCAGTCCTCACTTGGTGCAGAAAATGTTACTCCAGGAATATTTTTGCTTTGAGCATAGCCATACTTCAAATTATGTTCTCACTGTATAGGGTTTATTCACTTTTCATTCGCATGCTTGACTAATGATCAGAATATAGGAGTAAAATCAAGTTCTATTGTCATTCTTATTTTTGAGCGATTTGCTGAAATGTCACTGGTATGATTGTCGAATGGAGTTATTCTCTTTCTTGATTTCCACTGGTTATGGTTTTATTATGTCATATATTGACATTTTATTCACACTTGGCTCAGATACACACGGAGTTTTGGCAACAAGGGCAGATCGATTTAGATTGGAGTAGATTTCATTTCGCAGGAGGAGACCTTTTAGAGTAGTTTCTTAAAAGCCAATCACAATGCTAAGGCAGGCATCCAGTAGGAATCAGAGGTCCAAAGGGTTCAAGGTCAAACATACTCTTCAAATACTCCTTTTGGTTGCTATTTGCATTTGGTTACTTTATCAAGTCAAGCACTCACATGAAAAGAAAAAGGCTTTTGAAGAGAGGAACTCAAAGATTATGAATAAAATTGTTGAGAATGAAGCAGATTTCTTCAAGTTCGGCAGGAAAGACCTCCCCCACACAGGGGTGTCAGGTTCTATAAATGAGGCTCAAAACAAAGAAGAAGACAATGAAGACACCCAGGAAGAAGACGAAGACCATGACACCAAGCAACAAGAGATTGAGGAAGAAGAAGGGAGAGGTGCTGGAGATGATGAAATTGATGAACAAGATAATGAAAAAGGCGACGAGGAAGCCGAGCAGGGAGAAGAATCAATAGAAGAAGAGGATAATGATAATCATGAAGATGGGAAAGATAGTCATGAGGAAGTGGATGTGTTTGATAATCAAGAGCATGAAGGTGGTACACAGGAGGCAAGAGAAGAAAATTACAAAAGAGATGATGCTTCGAGTGCTGTTGTCAATGAGGAGCAAGTAGTTGACAAAACCGATGATAATTTGAGTGCTAACGATTCTAAAGGCGATGATGTAAGCAACGAGGGTTCTAAAAATGAAGTCGTGGGGGAAAATTTAGAGAAGAAAGTTGAAGAGTCAAAAAATGATGGTGCTAAAGGCAATAACAATTTGATTGTTGAATCTGGAAGTGCTTCTGTTAGCAATGTTTCAGACACTGGACTTAAAGATAATGAGACCATACAGATTAACACCACGCCGTCCAATGTAACGGTTTTTTATAACAATGATGCAAAGGTTGAGTTTTCAAAACCAGAGAACTATTCGGTTTCTAATTTGACCACAGTTGAGCTTAACGGTCAGATAGAACAGCAATCTAACTTGAGAAAGGAAGCTGAATCCAATACCCAGATTGAACTTCAGTTGAATTCAACAGGAAATATATCCGAGTTGCAAGCTGAAAGTAAAAATAATTCAACAATGGGTAATTCAGGTGACATTTCGATGTCAAATGATACTGTTAGCTTGCATCCAGCCCCAAATCAGAATGCTGTAGCCGATAATGCAACTCAAGTAGAAGGCAAGGGCAACTTGCAGAATGAAGGAGAGCAAACTGAGTACGCGAATGCTACTACGGTGTCATCAACAAATGAAAATGGAGATGCAGCTCGAGGACAGTCTGAAGAGCAATCTACTACATCGACTAAAAATGAGAATGAAGATGCTGCAGCTCAGGCTCAAGGAGAATCTGATAATTCATCGCATAGTGTCATCACAGTAGAAGAAAGGGAGGCCCGCATGGATCTATCTACTTTACCCGATATCCAAAATGAAGTAAGGTCCACAGATGATGAAGTTGCTGAGTGATGTAATGGTTGATATAGTGGGATAAGTTTTCTTGTAATATGTAGGATTCTGTAGTTTTCTGGATGTTCTCTGCTTTGTTTTTGGCTTGCTTTCTGAGGTGAATGAGAGCATTTGCAGTTCTACTTTTTTTCTGGTAGTATTTTGCTGGGCTAATACTGATCGGCACAAAAATGAGCAAATTTCCATAGATGGGATTGTTTTGTAACTCAAATGGATATAATATAGGGTTAATTGCAAAAGGACCCTCTACAGTATCGCCCAATTGCGAATGGACCCTGTGAAGTTCTATTTGTAGCTAGTAGACCTCTATAGTTTTGGCTAGGGTGCGAATACACCTCATGAGTGAACGTTTTCGCCTCTTAAAGCAAATGGTCTATCCTCACCAATAGAATTATAAGTGGTCTACCTGCTTCCTTAGGCCTCGTTAATGATTTTAAAAGTATTAAAAAAAAATCACTCGAGGGTTTATTTTTAATAACAAAACTACAGTGGACTCTTCTATATTATCATTATATAGTTTCACATACACACACACACACGTATTTTGCTTGATTATATAGGCGTACGTCTATTGACATTCTGCAAGAAACCTACACAAGCATAACTTGTTTATCTATTTGCTAGCAGAAGAGGAAGTTACAAGAGCAGACCAGAAGCATAACCAGATGACAGTAAAATTATGCTATTTGTTGTGAAATTTTACAAAGCAACATTAATCGACACAGCTGCATTGAAATCTTCGATGACCACCTGAGAAGCTCTAATGATCTTTATGCTTCCTCTCAAGAAGGCCATCAGGACCTAAACAATTTTATTGTGCAGGTGGCGATTCCAGCATACGTTATTTTCTCCCATTTCTCTGCTTCATCTAATTACCAAAAAAATTAATTGAGATCAAGAAATCATAGCTCTAAAAAAATTTGGACGAAAAAAAAGGAAATTAAGAGGAGGAACTAACAAACATCGTCGTGATGAGAGGTGCTTGCAAAGCTCCTGGTCTTGGTAGTGGTCCTGGCTCCTGCTCTTTTGAATAAAACTGAGGCTCGTTGGAGAATAGCTCTCACCATTGCTGCTGCCGCTGCTGCAGCTGTTTTTTTTTTTCGTTGGAGAATAGCTCTCACCATTGCTGCTGCCGCTGCTGCAGCTGTTTTTTTTTTCTTCCCCCCCTCCCTCAGACAATTTGCTTTCTTTCTTCTTATTAAGCTCTCGTTTTCATTGGTCTTAAAAGCTCCAAAAGAAGAAGGTAAAGGAAACTTCTCGCGTGTTCTTCTGAGTTCTGAAGCATCAGTATTCGTGGACTCTTCAAGTAACAATGGTAACGTTCCCTTATAATAGTACAAACTTTGATATATGGTCTTTAGGTAATATATAGATGGAATCACACACGATTGGTTTAATGATGCAATACAACAGAAGGATTATTTGGAATCAAACAAATATAGCAGAACTTTGAGACCAACAGAAATGCAAGAACATGGTCTGTCAATATTCAAACACCACGCTTTGAATTGAGACTTTACCTTTGCCTAAGTTTCAATCTAATGAGAAAAAGAAAGAAATTCAACCATTCGCTTAACATCGACATCCCAGTCGACGCACCTTGCCCTCGGGACAACACTCCTCTCTATTATGATACAGAATTTTGTTGCCTCTCTCTCTTGTATATTATCGGAAGCAAACAATGTGCATTGCTTTTCATTTACATTTTCTTCGATACCATAAAGCCCAATACGGAACATGACAATTGATACTCCTACTACAACGAGAGAAATCACCCACCATTTCTGCAAACGAGAACCTAAATCCCATCTACCTCCCGAGAGTGAAGAAAAAGCTGGCCACCAAAGACGAAGACGACTTGACATAAGAATCAAACCTTTCGATCTGAGACGCAGACAGAGTGCAAAAGCTCAGATATCCTTTTAAGATTACAGGGATTTAATTACTGTGATACATCAAGACTAGAGTCACCTTATTTCAATACAAGAAACTTGTCTGCAATTTAATCACCGTTACCAAAAGAAGAGGGGGCTTCAATATCAGCACAGCTATCACCGACCTCCAGAGAGGCAATAAAGACTAGACCACGAATCCGAATTAATAAAACTGTTGGCCCCTTCACTTCTCAACGGCGACAGATTACTAAGCCTCAGATAACTAGCCGGCAGCTCTGGCATCGGCAGCTCTCCCTCAAGAAACTGCACTATTTGCCTCATGCTCGGCCTGCCCTCAGCCATTGGATTCGAACACAACAGCCCAAGTTTCAAAACCAACTCAACCTCATAATCGCAATACTCATCCCCAAATCTCGCATCCCTCGTTTCAATCAATTGTCCCCTTTGCCATTTTGCAAGCACCCAACCTATAAGGATCAACTCCTCTCCTTGCTTATTGGGCTCAACCGGCCTCCTTCCACAAACGACTTCTAAAAGGAAAGTCCCGAAAGCAAAAACATCGGTCGCAGTTGTTGCTCTGCCAGTTCTTGAAAGCTCCGGTGCAAGATATCCTGTTGTTCCGACGACATGAGTGGTTTGAGGATCAGTACCATGGTCGTATAATCTCGCAAGGCCAAAATCTCCGAGCCTCCCGTTGAATTCTCTGTCTAGTAACACATTGCTTGCTTTGATGTCCCGGTGGATCACAACCTTGTCATAATCTTCATGTAGGTATAAGAGGCTTGATGCTACTCCTTTGATTATATGAAACCTTTGAGCCCATTTGAGAGTAGGTTCAACTTGGTTGTATAAGAATTTGTCGAGACTGCCATTGGGCATGAAATCGTAAACTAAGAGGAGCTCCCCTTTGCGACGACAGTAGCCTAGGAGTTGAACTAGGTTTCGGTGGCGGAGCTGGCCAATGCTAACGATTTCAGCTACAAACTCTTTCATTCCTTGTCTTGATTCATGTGATACTTTCTTAACTGCAACCTCTAGTTTAGTGCTAGGCAAAACTCCTTTGTAGACTCTACCAAAGCCTCCGGCACCAAGTAACTCTTTTTCTCTGAACCCTTTAGTTGCTCTGAACAAATCTTTGTATGAAAACCGATGAGGCCCATACTCAAGCTCCCAGTCTTCGAGCAACTCAGCATATTGTTTCCTCATCTTCACTATGAGCAATATGGCAGCAAACATCACGAGCAAAAATGAAGTCAAAGCAACTGGCAGTGTTATCGCCAAGAGCTCTGAACTCTTGCCTTTGGTTTTAGCAACAGGGAGTGGAGGAAGCTTTGAATAATCCAGCGGTTTAGCTACTCCGTTCATCTTGAAGCTCCACCCCAGAAGAAAATGATTAGTGTGGAAAGCACCAGTTGAGGAAGAGAACCCAGCGTACATTGAATCGAGCATCAAGCTTGAAAGATCAATGGCAGACGATAAGAGAGGCCGACTAGGTTTAGGCATTTTTATCGGAGATAAGGTAACATTAAGCTGCATATTTTCTCCATCAAAATCGATCCAAACTTGCATCGGTTGGCTGCTGATCAGAGATAAGTTTTTAAACACGCCAGTCCCATCTTCAAAGTAACCGGCGGTATCGGACTTGTTAGATATCAAGCTATTGATGTCAATCCCGACATGGTTATCGTTGATATCACGGAGCTCAGGGTTTTGGATGGTGTCAAGCTCAACAGCAAAGATGTGATTGGTTGAATTGCCATCGTTACTTGTATTGAACAGACCTAAGTACTGGCTTGCTAAAGCACTGGAGAGGTCAGTGGTTTTGGAGATTGCAAAGGCGATGCCGTTGCCGCCGAGATAGGAGACCTCGGGGATAATTGCAAACACAAAAGTAGTCGAAAAAGAGTTAATTTTACCGTTTGGAGACTTGAAATGAAGAGGGATTGGATGGAAAGCGTGGCCCTTCATATGTGTGTTGTTCGTAATCTGAAGGAGGCCGTTAGATTTGACCGATGCCATTCCGTCGAGGCTGAGGTTGGCGCTGTTGAAGCCATTGAAGGTGAAGTCATCTTCAGTTGAGGATGTGAGGTTTAGGAGGAGGAAGAAGAAAAGGAACAGAGGCGTCCTGAACATTGAGAATTTCATTAGTCTGTGAATTTCGGACTCTTTGCTCTAGCGGTTCACTTAACAACAGGAGACATCAATTTCGGTGGTTAGCAAGATGAAAGCGAAATATGAAGACTTGGTGCCCGTCAGTCAATGGAGAACGCAGACAAGCATCGTGAACCATGCATTTCTCAATCGATGGCCCGCAGCATTTGTAAGAAAGCCAAAAGAACAGTCTTCACAGTTTACTCTGACCTATTAAATTTGAAATTCTCATTTAGTTAAAACAAAGGCCTTTCATCAGTAGGTGGTTAGCAATTGATCAGCGTTTTCCTTGACTTGCATTTTGCAACGACTGCGACACAGCAGAGGAATGGCAACATTTTCAACAAGCAGGAAGAAGGCGATAACGACTTGCTTTGAGGAGTGCAGGCCTTATTATGCCTAACTTTGACTTTTTCAAATTTATTTTGTTCAATATTCAATCTTTTGTGTGTGTGGGGTGGGGGGCAGAATTTCTAAAGGAAAATCATTCTTAACGTTGACTATTGTGATTAAGAATCTGTCGGTTCTTACATGTTGATATGCAGATATATGTCCTCTGTTTGGTTATGAAGGCTGTTAATCTATTTTAAAAACATTTTGGAATTTAGACAATAACACTAGCTTATGGAAGGAATTTGCCTTTTTTTTTGAAAAATTCTTCGAGGACCCAAAATATGGGACCAATAGGGGGGACAAGTGAGGTGTCCCCCTCATATTGGATAATGAGTTGGCCATCATTAATGATGACCAACTCATTATCCAATAAAAGGAGGACACCTCACTTGTTCTTTTTATTGGTCCCATATTTTGGGTTCCTGTAGCAAAGCTCTTTTTTTTTTTTTACTCAATGAAAAATTTGGGCATAATGGAGCCGGGATCCTAATAAAGAAGTTGCTTTAAAGACACACAGAAAAAATAATCTTCAAGCTAAATGGTTAATGGGCTCCGGCCCAGGTTTTCCTGCCTAACTGTTTTCGGCTAAAGAGCTTTAATAACTCAAGGTAACTAATTAGACAAGTCAGCAGTCACGGCTAAAAGGGTTTACCACCCTGCATATCTAGGTGGTTTAGGAGATAACCTGGGTTTTCTACAAAGTGAGAAAATTGGATACAAAATGAAAACAACATTTTCAGCAACCATTTTCTCAACATTGCCTCCTCTCCCATGGCCTTCTGTTATTATTCACTACGAAATTGATTTGCTTTAAGATCTAAATTCCATCAGGAAGAGTTTAACACAAGAACATTTTTCGAATAAAGAGGGACAAATACATTTGCGGTACCTTGCTCAAAGTCTGCCCTAAAAAGAAAATAGAAAAAGCAAAGCCTAAAACAATAAATGACCACACGGTTGTTAGTAGGGGTGCAAAATGGTCCAGATTTATCCAGACCGACCGCAACCGTATCCGTTTAGAAAACGGATATGATAAGGAAAATTTAAAACTAGTCAGATATGGTTTCAGATACGGTTACGGTTTAGATTTTTTATCCGGATACATTTTCGGATACAGTTATCGGGTCGAAATTGCGGACACGGTCCGGATATCCAGATATTTGAAATGGGCTAAGTATAATACTTGTATTGGGTTGGGTCTATAATATATACTCAAGTTATCTGCAACCCGACCCAAATTCAACCGAAAAACCCCAAATTCAACCCAAGTGAAAGCATTCATCCCAGCAAGGGAGATTCAACGACCTCACTAGCTACGACAACTTTCGCCAGCCCCAGGCGGCTACTGATCTTTCGAAGCCTAGCCTCGGCCTCGGCCTCTGCCTCCCGCTCCGCCTGCGCTTCCCCTCCACCTCCGCCTCCGCCTCTGCCTCCGCCTCTTCGTAGCTCAACTCTTCAAGAAGTCCGCGGCCGCCTCATCCTCTTGATCGACGCGACGACGACCATCAACGACGTCCAACCTCCTCTTCTCCTCCTCAATTTCGTATATCCCTAAGGTGAATTCAAAACCCTAAGCCTTATTTTTTTAAATAAAAGCCTTAATTTCTAGCATTTGTTGATTGAATTGAAAAACTAGGGGTGAAAAATGGTTCAGATTTATTCGGACCGACCGCAATCGTATCCGTTTAGAAAGCTGATATGGTGGGGGAAAATTAAAACCGGTCGGATATGGTTTCAAATACTGTTACAGATTATATTTTTTATCCGGATACGGTTTCGGATACAGTTATCGGGTCAAAATTGCGGATACATTCCGGATATCCAGATATTTGAAATGGGCTAAGTATAATACTTGTATTGGGTCGGGTCTATAACATATACTCATGTTATCCGCAACCCGACCCAAATTCAACCCAAAAACCCCAAATTCAACCCAAGTGAAAGCATTCATCCTAGTAAGGGATATTCAACGACCTTACTACCTATGGGAACTTTCGCAAGCCCCAGGCGGCTACTAATCTTTTGGAGCCTCCAAGCCGCCTTCGAGCTCCGCCTCCGCCTCCTGCTTGGCCTCCGCCTACGCTTCCCCTCTACCTCCGCCTCTTCGCGGCTCAACTCTTCAAGAAGTCCGCGGCCGCCTCATCCTCTTGATTGACGCGACAACGACCATTGATAACGTCCGACCTCCTCTTCTCCTCCTCAATTTCGTATATCCCTAAGGTGAATTCATAACCCTAAGCCCTAATTTTTTTTGTTTGATAAAATCCCTAATTTCTAGTATTTGTTGATTGAATTAAAAAACTCTATTTATTTGATAAAAATCCCTAACCTATTAGCCCTAATTGTTTTTAGTTGCGTATATTATTGTAATATGGAGTCTGATTGATAGGCAGGAGAAGATTCGTCTTTCTATCGTTCCTTAAACAGTTTTAATCATCGCTTTCTAGAGGCAGCGAGGAAACTATCGTGAGATCAGATAATTCTGCATTTGAAATGGTAAAATTTTACTCTGTAATGTTGTTGTTCTTGTTGTTACTAAGCGGCGAACAAGAAATCTGTTTCGATTTGGTTTTAGATTGAAAAGGAAGGCACTTAATTCTTGAATGTTTTAAATGAATTAATTTAAACACTATTGGAATTGTTATGGGCTTGTGAACTTGATGGGACATCGATCAGTCACAATCTTCTAATTGTGAATGGTTGTTTGATTCCGCATCAGATGGATGTTAGTTTGCCTTGGCTATTAACATTAATTTACCCTTTATTGGAATATGATAGAAAGTAATACAGTTGTACTATAAAACCCTAAGCCCTAATTTTTTTTGTTTGATAAAAGTCCTAATTTCTAGCATTTGTTGACTGAATTGAAAAACCATAATTTATTTAATAAAAATCCCTAACCTATTATCCCTAATTGTTTTTTATTGCATATGTGATTGTAATTTGCATCATTATATTTTCTTTGTTTGATTAAGTTTATAAATTTAAATGAATAAGTATTAGAATCATGTCGTCTAATCCATCAGTTCAAGCTTCTAATGAAGAACCCACAGTTGAGTTATTAAAATCATATGTATTTTTTGTCATATCCTATTCATATCTATTTCCCAAACATCCGATTAGTATCCGTATCATATCCGTATCTGACTCTCTAATATTTAAACTGTATCCGTTTCCGTTTAATGCGGATATGGTAATGCTTTTTTTCTTATCGATGAATATGCGAACTGTATCCGTATTCGTTTTCAGAAAGTGGTTTTGGTTATGGTAAGCGTCATATCCGAACCGTATCCGTACCGAATGCACCCCTAGTTGTTAGAAATCATATGTCCAATGAAGAGCCCGATGTCTAGCCAAATCACAAATGCATACCAAAGTCCATATCATCACCCTCTAACTTGCCTGTGGTTAGGCTCAATCCACCTTTCCTATTGAGAAAATCAGGGGGAAAGAATACCGTGCACAAGTGACTCGTTCCTAACATAATGAGATTGGTTATGTTCCCTTTTGTCAACTACGAAAGCTTACGAGCAATCTCGAGATTCTTGTGTATGGTTCATAGGTCCTATCACATAGGTTACCCTAAAAAAATTTGGGAAAAATGCTTCTAGCCCCTAAAAGTTAAGAAAACGTGCTTCCCACCCCCAAGACTTTGTCAACGGGTGTTTTGCCCCCAAAAATAAAGATTCTGCTCTCTGAGCCCCCAAAACACAAAACCCAAGAGATTAAAATATGTGAAGACCATAATACCCTTCTCTCTCTCTTTCTTTTTTATTAAAATATGATGAGGATTATTTTATTATTTTTATTTTCTCTTTCTCTTTATCATGATGTACTGAGATGATAGTTAAAATGATTGATGATGATTACTTTATTATTATTTTTTATTATTTTCGTTGTTTGTATTGGGAGATTGTTAAAGTTACAGGTTAATTGTTAAGGTTACGAGTTAATTGTTAATGTTACGGGTCAATTGTTAAGGTTATGGATCCTCTCTCTCTATCTCTCTCTCTCTATCATGATGTTACTTTGATGATATTAAAATGATTGAAGAGGATTATTATTTTATTATTTTTATTTTTTATTCTTTTCGTATTTTTAGAATATTCGTTATTAAGGATAATGATTGGTTGTAAATATTATGCATTGATTGTTAAGGTTACGGGTTGGTTGTTAAGTTTACGAGTTTGTTGTTAAGGTTATGGGTTTGTTGTGTAGGTTACGGATTTGTTGTTAAGGTTACGGGTTTAATTGTTAAGGTTACGAGTTTAATTATTAAGGTTACGGGTTTAATTGTTAAGGTTACGTGTTTAATTGTTAAGGTTACGGGTTTAATTGTTAATGTTACGGTTTAATTGTTAAGGTTACGGTTTAATTGTTAAGGTTACGGGTTTAATTGTTAAGGTTACGGGTTTAATTGTTAAGGTTACGAGTTTAATTATTAAGGTTACGGGTCAACTGTTAAGGTTACGGGTCAATTGTTAAGGTTACATGTTTAATTGTTAAGGTTACGGGTCAATTGTTAAGGTTACGGGTCAATTGTTAAGGTTATGAGTTTAATTGTTAAGGTTACGGGTTTAATTGTTAAGGTTACGAGTTTAATTGTTTGTTAAGGTTATGAGTTTAATTGTTAAGGTTACGGGTTTAATTGTTAAGGTTACGAGTTTAATTGTTAAGGTTACAGGTTTAATTGTTAAGGTTACGGGTCAATTGTTAAGGTTATGGATCCATTCTCTCTCTCTCTCTCTCTCTCTCTCTCGTAAGCTTAACAATTAAACCCGTAACCTTAACAATTAAACTCGTAACCTTAACAATTGACTCGTAACCTTAACAATTGACTCGTAACCTTAACAATTAAACCCGTAACCTTAACAACCAACCCGTAATCTTCACAACCAATGCATAACCTTTACAACCAACTAACCCGTAACCTTCACAACCAATGCATAACAA